ACTTTTTTTATGGACGCTTTTTGGATGACATTGTTATGGTTTGGACTTATTCTATCGAACAGCTTTGGGAATTGTNTGAAATTCTCAACAACCACCATCCTTCTATCAAACTAACCGCAAACGTGAGTGACAAAAGCATAGACTTTCTCGATACCACAGTCTTTAAGGGAGATTCCATAGCAGAAACAAATAAACTGGATATTAAAGTGTATTTCAAAGAAACTGATACTCATCAACTCTTGCACAAGAGCTCCTTTCACCCAAAACATACCTTTTCTGGTATAAGTAAGTCACAAGTTTTACGATTTCATCGAATTTGTACAAGATCTTCTGATTTCAACCAAGCCTGTACGATTGTTTTCTCAAAACTGAAAGAGCGTAGGTACTCTAAACGATTTTTACGAAACATAAAAAATTCCACCTTAGCACAGATAGCAGCTAAAAACAGACTTTATGCCGAAGTACCTCCAGGTTTAAGAAGTGCTCCATGTTTGTCCAGTAGATGCAAAACATGTCCCTTTATATCAGAAACTCATTATTTTGTAAGCAACTCTACGAATAAAAGCAACTCTACGAATAAAAGGTACCCGATCCAGGAACATCTAACATGCGAACATTCGAATGTAATATATTTAATTTCATGCAAGAAATGCCCCAAACAATATGTAGGAGAAACTAAGAATAATTTACGAACTCGCTTTAATGCTCATAGGTCGGACATCAAATTAAAGAAAGACAAGCCTGTTTCTAATCATTTCAACCTCGACGACCATTCAATAGACGATCTCACCCTAATCCCAATTGAGCGTATAGAAATTGACTTGCCAGAAGATGAAACTACCAAATTCCGTCAATCTAGGGAGGCCCATTGGATTGAGACATTGAATACAGCAAGACCAATAGGACTAAATATTCATCATAATGTAGGCATAGCACCCTTTGTTGTCCCGTTTAATACAACCAGCAATCGAGCAAGCAAGATAGTTCATGCCCACTATAAGAGCCTTCAAGAGAAATTCCCCCATGTCTTTAAGCAGAAAATGATAGTTGCATATTCAAAAAATAAGAACTTAAATGATAATATTGTTCATAGTAAACTAAAAACAATCAGTACATAACAGATACTATACTTCTCGCCCATCGGGCGAGTTATTTTTTCTAATTTCAGATCAGAATAAGAACAGAAGAAAACCCAATATCAAGACCCTTAATCCTAATTTCTAAATAAAGTGTTTGCTCCACCCTAGGCCTGTACATTTGGGAGAATCAAACCCTCCCTTCCCCGAAATCCAAGATCCTCTTCACATGTATACCCATTTCAAATAAAATCTCGAAGAAAGCACAACAGAACCTCAGCACTCTCAACAACATGATGATGGAGTCCAGTATCAACAGCGCAACAATCTTACCACCCTACGAAGAAGAATTCGAACCAGTGATATCT